GGTTACGTCATTGATGATAATTATTTACACAAATAATACTATTATGTTGGTATTTATATGCCTGTCTTACGTAATAGGCCAACATGATAATTATGAATCCATAATAGTTCTGAGTATTTATTATATATGATGGTATTAAAAGCAATATACAGATGATATTGAAATACAATTCATCTATATTTCCATAAGTCATATCAATTATTCATGTTGAAATTGCTATGTATTTCCATTAAGTTATTTATTATTTTTTCACCTTTGAACAAAAAGGTGGGGGAGGATGTTCTAAGGCACCGTAAAACATCCCTTGTTACACCATTGATGGCAACACATATACTCTTATGTTGGTATTTATATGCCTATCTTACGGAATACATGATCATTATGAGTTTAAATTAGTTCTGAGTATATTATTATAAATGATGGTATTAAAAGTAATATATATCAATGATTTATTTTAGGATCTAGGCCTATGATTACTAGAAATTTGAATCAAAATTAAACGAAGCGTTGGTTTGTTGTGTAAATTCACTTGATCCGATATTACTCATCTCGCCCCCACTGTTCCCCGTGTACTCGGAACGCGTATGAAGGCTCTGGAAAAACTTCGGTTTCCGAATTCTGCACTTCTTGAACCATGCCTTCCACACGTCTTTGCATTCTTTACGCATAAAGCAGAACAACACGAAGATTGCTACGCCTTGAAATGTGTTGAAGATGCAGAACAAAACCAAAAAGACCAACTGACCATCATGATCAAAAGACAGAAACCCGAAGATCCAGGTGAGCCCCAGCAAGCATGAAATAGCCACTGCGTTGATAAACCGCTCTCTAATCTCTTTTTTTTGTGAATGATCAACAATTTTTCCTTGGGTGTTTTTGAATATCTTTCTGACAACCAAACCAAAAACCACGCAGTTTCCAAAGATAATAACACTTACTGGCACAACAATTCCTCCGATTAGGGCGCCCTTCTCAGTACTGTTGATGTAACAACTAAATGAAATAATATTAATATTATAAATAATGATTATTAAGTAACCAGCATATAATTATGATAATAAATTGTACATGAAGTATTATAATATCATTATTTTGTTACAATAGTATTTATATTATCCTGTAAATTCTATTATAGTAGGCCTGGTTATAAGTAATGAATGACAACTATAATAATATAAGAAGAAAATCAAACTCATCGAGTTTGAATTAAAGTTTGGTCATTACTTACTATTTATCGTTATTGTAGAAATCTTTATCAACAGACAGCATAATGATAATTGGAATCCACGGTAAGCCTGTGTTTAAACAATAGTAATTGTTTCTCACTTTTTTTTAAAAATTCACATCAGTCGCTAACTAAATTCTTGAGACCACCTTTAGAACTTTGAGTCTCTAATTCAGGAGTAGGCGTTGTGTTACAAGACTAAAGATTGCCAGTTGGTAGGTACTTTGAAAAAGTATGAATTAGACTGGTCTAGAATTGGAGGGTAAACTCTAATTATGATATACACACATACATTGCAGCACTTTATTTACTTTAGCGTTATTTCATCAGATCAGAGCACATTTTGTTTTTGTTTTTTTTATATTTTTTTTTGCAAATTATTGAATGCAGCAGCAACCACTTTGATTCATAGGTGTTGATCTATTGCCTTCTCTCATGTATTCTGCACCAATGCATTTCCTTGGTAACATTGATTGTATTTTGCTTTGTTGTTCCTGAAGATGTAGTCAAGGATTCTGAATTTGACCCAGGCTAGCCCAGTCTCCATTTGTTTGTGTGTGTGTGTGTGTGTATATATATATATATAAGATGTGTATAAGAGACAGACATAAGACTGACATTTCTCAAACAAATAACAAACGTATCGGACGGACATAGACAATCAACACTGCGGCTCTAATCCTGTTCTTTTTACTTATTTGATTATGTCATTTAATTATAATATACTAAAGTTCGATATATAACACAAATAATTAGTTTGGGAAGTCAATTTTCCAGGTATAATATATAATACTTTGGCACGTGATGTAACTCTATCATGTTGCTCCTTTCATTGCTTATTGATATTTGTTTTGTTCTAAAATTATCTATAGGCCAGCTTTCTACATCCTATTCATAATTGTAGGGCTTGTAACATATTATTTAATTAGTTTGTGTCATGGATAATCATTAAAATATCATCGGTAAATTTGAGATGATTCTCCGTTCATTGCAGTATAATCTCGTCCCACTCCAGATGCTAAAACCTCACCCAGTTCTGATATAAAAAGGCTTGGGTGAGATAAGATTTCCATTTCGTACGCATTAAATTACTGGGCAATGGTAAATGGTATTTAGTTTCATCTGCGTTGTTTTATTTTGTTACTCATTTTTCCCGGTTTTCTGTTAGATGTATTCCATCGCTACAATCTATTTAGTATTAGTAAAACTTTTTAAATTGAAAACTTAATTGGATAAAAAACCTCACCCCATGCAAGTGCTAATGAGAATTTCATGAACCTCGAAGTTGGCTGGTTGAATACGGCAATAATTAGGTAGTATATATTGGCCGCTTCCACGGCCGTCCATGCAATCGTCGTCAGTAAAAAGTAGTGAAGAAACACGGCAACAATGATACATCCTTTGCTTCCCTGTCGAGCAGTATCGACACCAAATATAAAAATGATGTAGAGAAACAACATCGACAAACACAGGTTAACCATTATTTGTTGAGGTTGACGGCCTCGAATCGATCTAAATTCAATAATGAGATTAACGTTTTAATAGTTAAAACACATTTTATTTCTTTGCAATAAAATGATTGCCATTAATCATCATTAATCAGATCATCCAACCGAATTAAATTAAGTATGAATAGAATTAAAGTGACGCTAAATTTCAACCTAAACAGGAAAGGCCAGTAAATACAGCATTTTACTTACTTGCTACCAAGAACGGTTACTATAGTAATGATGAGACCGATGATTGACATGCTACAACCAATGTAAGTGACAATGCTCAAAAATGAAGATTCATTAGAATTTGGAAACTGTAAATGAAATGTATTTTGTAAACTACTTTAAACAGAATTAAACAGAAAATAGGTAAAGTAAATTGGAATGGAACAACCAAAAATAGGGTATTCGATATTAAATATATTAACGTTAAATGATATTCATTGTAATCCATAATTAACATGTTTAGGCATATCTAGATCTCAAAGTACTCATATAAATACGGTTGCTCGTTGCTAGCTAATAAAGAATGGATTATTTCTAATCACAAAATACGACAGCATGTTTGATTAAGCTGTAATGTTTACATTATTGACAGATAAATTTAGGCGTCAGATCACGTCATGAACAAAAAACATATTACAAACAAAATATATTAATACACTTACAATTAGGACTGCAAAGTTTGTCAAGTGGGTACATTCGCAAGTTATCTGTTGGTTTTTAGATACGCCAGCAAGTTTGCAGCCCTCAAAAGACCAATTGCCAAATTCATTCAGAGTTTCATTCCAGAAAGCACACTTGTACTCATTGGAGGACAGATTCTAGTTATTGAATAATTTATATCAAAATATTGTTTTAAAAATGATTATTTTGGATAGAGATAAAATGATTATAAATAATTGTGTACTCCCTACCATTGTTATTGTTATTTCAATTACACACAGTACAGGTCTTCCTCCAGTTGGAGACCACATTTGGGACTGGGTTTTTACGGTGTTTAGCCACTTTGGTCATTAATTAGAAAAAAAAATCTTATAAAAATGAAAGACAGTTGCTCTATTGGGGCTGAAAGATGGAGGGGTCTTTAATTTAAGGGAGACCTGTATAAGCAAGTATTATACATTTTTATGTGTAGAGTAAATGGTATGAACTGTGTTCCAAAAAAAAAAAAAAAATACACGAATATTTTTTTTTCAATAATTATTAACATGTCAATGAATGAATATGTGAATCTTTAATCATGCCCCACATTCCTTGATCCTCATATATAATTATCACATTATGTACACACGTAAACAAAATATCGAATATACAGGAACTTTGAACACAAAAATTAACACATACTGTAGGTGGCATTTTAACATTTTATTTTTCCATAATTTAATTTCTACGTTTATAGAAGTGTTAAATAGGTAGTTTTCGTCGCACGACGTTAACCTTAACTTTAACCTTAGTACCCAACATACAACGCGATAGCTCCGCCCCTTTTGTAAACAAATCAGAATACGCATGCGCAAACCCGTAACTAACATATGTCAAGCACATAAAATTCAAAAATTAACGTACTCCGCAACGCAAGATGAATAAATTATGGCGTCATCCGTTAACGTTAAGGTTAACGTCGTGCAGTGAAAACTCCCTAATGATAAATATCATGACTAGAAGAGTAAAAGTCATTACAATACATCGTTATAGTAAAAATAGGAAGCGATGGTTTCTGATATTGATTTAACTAGTAGTCCTAAACATAAATTTGTATACAAGGCCGAATGTAGGTTTATAGAAAGCCCTTATATATTGAAATACTGAACAATTGTTTGATTATTGTAAATGCATTATGTATTTTTCTTTCCCTAAAAACTAACCACAAGCCTGTATACAGAATGAATATTTCATTAAATATTTCAACATATAACTTGCATTACCTCTGGTGCAGTGAATATCAGCTCAACCGGATCTTCGAATTCCGATGGTAGAGCATCTTTTGTGTACACAGTTGCAGCTAAAACGGTACCTGTTGTGTTTTTGCCGTTAACACGAAACAACTTGTCGGTTTTATAAATAACAAAGCTTATATTCACGTCTTTGCCTAAAAAAAAACCAAAATGCAACGTCATTCGTAAATTAATGCAATGATTAGAAAGGAAGGACCCCATTGGAATTAAGCTGTTCTTTAGCTTTATGGGTTATCCTGGTATTTTGCATGGTTCTTTGTGAATTTTGAATACCAAATAAAACAAATAACAAACAAAAGGAATATCTCTTTATTAACTTATTCCTTAAGCATCGTATTTTGTCACAAGAAGGAAGTGATGATTATAAAATTTAAATCACACTACGATGTTTTACTTCTTAAGAAAAACATAATTATGTAAAATTTACTTTAGGCCGAGGTGTACGTGGACTGGCTCGTACCGTCCCATACTGTAACTTACTTCTCCTTAAAGGCCTCTTCGTGTCTGAGCTACCCGGTAAACTGATACCAACTATTCTTGGCTGTCCACAGCAATTCATTTTTTATACAATACAGTAATGATTGAAATACATTATTCAAAAATTAAACTAAACTACTAAACTTCTGTTCCGCGTATATATTACAAGCATGTTATACAGTACTATAAAGTACCTCAATTAATATTACATCTTGCAATTGTTTGATTTGGCATGCAATTGTGAACAAATATATGTAACTGTTGTTTTGGTTTATCAAGAAGAATTTTCTATAAGGTACTTGCCTTTAGAAATCTTTAAGATGCTTTCTGGTAAAGCTATTGAAAATGCCACATTTTCACTGCATTTATTACCAGTACATACACGGGTATCTGTACTATTTTCAGCAACGACGAATTTTAAGCTACTCTCAATTGCATTTGAGTGAAGATTTAGCGTTTGCAGCGCGATGTTTTCTTCGACTTGTGTGTAATTCATACCAGAATTTGCAATCACGTCCACCTGTCCTTCAAACGAATTGAGTATACTAGCGGTTGTCTGAGGCAGTACCTTTAGGTCTGTGGCTCCAACAACCTCATCGACAATACTAACAACAGCGTCTGTAACCTGTTAAAAGTAGCTCTGTATATTATAATTCCATACTTGGCTTTATTTACATTTTATTACAGTATTTACCGTCTTATCCAAAGCTCTGTGTTTTGTTATTCAGGATAAAAAAAAATATTTAAATTTTAGCTCTTTCTGGAGTTCAACATATTTGAATTGTTACAGTAACTTTGATAGATATTTTTTTAGACTTGAATCACCTAATGTTTGATTATGAAAGCACACTAATATAATGTGTTGATACTTTTGTAGCTTTATTAGAAATTGCAATAGTTTAACATTGTACTATATAGCCTATATATAATATGTTCTTCACTAAAAGACTTTTCGTTTATAAAACACAAGCATCATACGTTTTCATTAGTTGAACCCAAACTTATGATATTTTCTAAAGCCACAGACGTAACTACCACATCTACCGGCTCCAACACATCAACCTCCTCTAGATACTGGTCCAACTCTTGACTTACATCTTCCACGTTTTCTTCAGTCACCTCCTTAAAAAAGAACAATTCATAAAACTTGATTATGATATTTTTGTAAATGGTATGTTGATATATTTGTAAAATGCATATCGCAATATCGTCTCTATGCGCCGAAAAACCACAGCCCAAGTGCACGAAAAAAAAGAATACAATACCAAACAAAAGGGGCAAAGTTCAGAATTAAAATGAAGAAAAAAGATTGGACTTGAGCTGAAGATAAAGATGAAGGTAATTGCGGTCACCATGGCAACAAAAAGAAAAAAAACCTTAGTACCAATATCATCGGATTAAAGATTATGTACGTACCTACCTGTCTCATGTTCCAACACCCTATACATGCCTAGTTCATCAAAGTGCAAAATAATGTTTAAGTGCATGAGTATACATTATGGATCCGACAGTTATTACATCATGATTATTTATTTAGAAAGCTCCTATCTTAAAAAGTTTATGCTATAATCTTTGAACATTCGTGGTAATATGTTAGTTAGAATCAACATTTAATAGTATTTCTGTTTTTTAAAGGTTTACCTAAGGTATCGGCACGGTTGAATACGACAAATGAAATAAAAATTAGTATGTCATATCGATTTGACAATAACAATCATACCTGTGTTATATTTTTAATTTTAGTAGCTGTTTCACTTTCTAGAAAAGAAAAATAACCAAAGGTTAGCTTGTCTAAGCTCGCCATATAAAGTTATCACATGCTAAATTCTTATATTTTTATAGATTAATCTTCGTTCCTACGTTGTCAAACATTTCCATTATCATGATTTTATAAACTTCTACGATTTCAATAAAGTATTATTATCGATTGTCGATTTTCAGGCACTGTCGGTTCTTAGGCACGCTGATTTTCGCGCACACTCGATTTTCCGGCACAGTCAATTTTCAGAAACACTAGATTTTCAAGCACTGCCGATTTTTAAGTCTGACATGGTCGATTTTCGGTTCTCAGGCATTGTCGGTTTTCGAGCACACGATTAATGGCTATTGACATTATTGTACCATTATATTAATAATACTGTATTTAAGCTACTCCAGTAGAATTAGTATACCTGACCCTTTTAACGGCGAGTGTGTCTTGCCTTTGTTTTATTGTATAGATATTCACGAGTGTGGTTTCTACTATTAAAACTCGTTGTTACCTAAACTGGAATAGTTTCCGACAGTGATCTATTTATGTGATTGTAATAATAAATACGTATAGCTAGCTGTAAATTCATCGTGTGTTTCTCAATGTTGTTTTTAAATAATTTTAGTTATTTGAATTTCCGTATAATATTGAAAATATTTGCCTATTGTGAGGCTATGAGTATCACAATGTTTAGATACTCGGTCTATGTGAAGCCCTGTAAGTAATGCCAGACAGGATTATAAGGCACAATATTGAAAATTGTTATGTTACGTTTTAACTGAAAATTAAGAAAGACCTTTGTAATTGAAAAACAAATTATCTATTAGATGACACAACCAAAGAAGTAAAACGTGAACTGGATATACAGTACAGTAATTGCTAAAATGTTGTGATAGATGTAGACATTCCTTATTCATTACATTTAACAACTTTAGTGACTTAAAATTTAGAAAAGTTAACATGGTTATTATGTAGGTCTATTATATATTCTATTATTTAGTGAACATATGCCTTTGTATCAGCTGCATTCAGTAAACTGCTGTGTTCAATATTAATATAATTTATACTGAATTCTCGCATGTTTAGATTTTGTAGCAAATTTGTTTTATTTTTGTTTGATATTTATTGCTCTCATACAACCACAATACAAAATACACATTCAGATACAAAGGATAAATAAAAATGGGAGCAAGATGGTAACTCTATAATTTTGGAAGCTTGTTTCCATAAGGGTCCTCAATTATGATTGCACAGTTGCCTATTTCAAATAACTTTAAAAGTATTCCTAGAAAATGTACGGTACTCTTTTATCAACATATTGAGATGACATAATGTAAGCAATATTATTTTAATACACTGTAACTTGCTTGTATTTTTTTTTTGCAATGTGTTTAATCTACATTCAAGACCTATTAATATTCAGAGTGTCCACATAAGAATTTGCAATAGTTATTCTTTGTTACACTAACAAGGTGGGTAAATTGTTTATAGAGATTACATGCGACAATAATAATAATAATAATAATAATAATAATAATAATAATATTTATTCAGCATAAAAGAACAATTTAGCCAGGATGCGAGAATAGGCGAAAGCCCAAACAATCAATGTACTCGCTCCATAGAACACAAAATAAAAATAACAAATTTAAACTTAGATACTAAAAATTTAAATTGAAACTCGTCACTGCGGACGAGTTAGGTGATCCGCCGCACTTTGACCCCCAGGAAGTGCGGCGGTGTGGATTGAACAGTTTTTTAATGCTGAAAAATTCAGTTTTTTAAAAAAGAATTAGGAGGACGTTAAAAGATTTACTCATGTGTACGTGCACGTCATGACGCACGTGCGCATGATAATGTCACAAAATTTTGACTCCTGATATGAGATATATGTATCTCTCATTGAGAAACGCCTTCTTATCATTTATAATATTTATCATATAAAAATTCAGTTTTTTGAATTCAGATGTCAATATGATGACATCACAATGTCCGATCAGCCATAATGATCTATAAAATCATATCTACTTGACTTCGTCGACAGCTTTGCACACAACGCGTGTTTCACCGATTTGAAAACCAGAACCAGATTCAGGGTGACACGATACAGTTGGATTACTTGAATAGTTATCCGTCGCCGTTGGTTTTGCGTACTTTACATAAGGCTCCGTTGAAATTATCTTGTCCTCATGACACATAATTACTGGAGGCTCTGTATCTAATCGAATCAATAAAAATATACTTTTATAAGGGTATAATTTGTATATCAGTAAAACAGCAGTGATTTATTCATCTGGTGTTATACAAACATACGTTTTAAATCATTTTACTATAGATTGTTGCTGCACCCGCTTATAACAAAATATCTTTATAAACATGCTTTATGATTTTATTTTCCTACCACATAATATCGCAAGTATAAACAAGTTACAATCCCGGCATAACCATTAAAGGAGTTTTTAATATTTAGGATGAAACAACTACAGTTCTAAAATAAAAATATCCAAAGAAATGCAAGTTTTCAACTCAGATCTTAATGATCTAAATCTTAATGATTCTAAATTTGGCAACAATGGTTAAACTTTTACAGTGTGGAATAGCGACTAACCTATGATTACTTGAAAATTGCAGACAGCATTATTATCAAAGGTATCAGTTGCTACGCATGAAACTAATGTAGTATCATTGAACAAGCTTCCAGACAAATGGTCACACGTGATATCAACCCCCACATCATCGGTTCCAATGACATCGAAATAGACATAACTTGGGGTATTATACGCGTGATCCTCAGGGCAGGCAAAGTTTACTGCGAGAAGAAATGAATATTTCTGATCTAAAGCATCGTCATACAGTATGTTTATAATGTAATCTAAACTAAATTATTGAAATATCTTATAAAGTAAACACATAACATATTGATTAATATAATTTTTTGGTTGGTGTCAGAAGAGTTAAAAGGCAAAGACAAGAGCAAATACAGTTCGCCCTCAAATTCCAGACCACCTTTAGAACCTAAATATTTGGGGTGGTCTTGGAGTTGATCTCCAATTAGAGGGCTAGCTTTGTGTTACTGGTTGAAGATTATTATTTGGGTCTTTGGAAAAGTGGTCTTGAGTTAGAGGGGTCTCGAATTGGAGGGTGTACTGTGTATATAGTGTGATGTAAAACATTAGCCCTATAGGCCTATATCAAAATTAATAAAGTCATAAAAGTAACAAATTACAAATAATAGGCCTAAAACATCTAAACATCTGAATAAATAATGTAGAGAACTACCTGAAACAATATGGCCAACAACTTGAAAAACGTATAAATGGAGCTACAACAAGTACATAGTATCAGTCGAAAAGACCTATGCACAATTTATTCGAATATTTCTCAGAGCGCTTAAAAATGCTTTATATTTTGAATGTACGTGTTTAAAGAATCAGCTATTTATCACATTTATTAATATCAGTTCGGTTAATGAAATCATGGAGGAATAAGTTCAGAACTTATTCCTCCATGATGAAATATAACATGATCATACATACAGACATTAACAACAAAAGAACAGTTAGCTGTATTATTGACATAGTCCCTTGCAGTACACGCAACAGTCGTGTCACCAACAGCAAACATTGATCCAGAAACAGGAAAACAATCAACAGTCAGTTCGGACAAGTCGTCAACTGCTAATGGCTGGATATAGTTAACCAACGGAATGATTGATGTCACCCGGTCCATACTACAGTTTATCAATGGGTCTTTTTTGTCTACGTTATAAAATAATAAAGATAAAGACACACATTGTATTACAATAATGTTTTATCAAATGCTATAGTGTAATGGAACTAAATTGAGATGTTTAACAATGCATAAACGAGCATGGCGCATTTAGGTTGGAGTGGGAAAAGATGGAATAGTAAAACCAGGCTGGGAGGCGAAATTTTTTTCCTGGACGTTTGAGACAGTGTCGATTGGTGGCGCTATAGGATTTGGCGGTGGCGGCGGCGGTGGTGGCGGTGATAGTAGTAGTAGTAGCAGTAGTAGTAAGCCTGCACAACATGAGGATATATACATAACTTAGCAATAAAAATAATAGTTATAATAATAATAAATAATCATATATGTAGGTGATCTTAGTGTATCCGAATAAATATTTAATTGTATTGTGTTAAATTCATTTTATCATTGAGTTTATTCATTAATAAATGGTAATTGTAGTGGCATCGTTGTTTCACATATAATGTCGACCTATCCGAAATCATGAACACACACAGAGTACAGTACAAGAAATGATGACAAACAGTAACGTAACATTGTCTGTACAGTATCTTTTTAAGATGGGGTGATGCCAATATAATAGAAAACAAGTCCCACTGGTTACGAGAAATCAACTATGTTTATTATAGGCCAGTTTATTCGTAGTCATCATCATCATTAGGCCTATTGTCACCATTATTTAATCATTGTCATCGTTTTTCATAAACTACCGTAGGCCTATCTGTACCTATATATTGTACTTGTGCATTTTAAACGTCAAGTAAACAAACTTCATTTCGTAGAACTACCCGTGACTGGGTGCCCAGACCTTACAGTTTTTTGTAATCATAGCCTAATCCTTATTAGCTTAAACATAGGCATATATGTTATTACTTCGTCATGCAAACCTTCAAAAAATACTTTTTTCTAATCATTATTCATTTCTAAAATATATATATCAGAATTATAATAAAAAGGGGTTACAAGGCTGTGGTTTTCAAATATTCTACGGTAATCTTCCTCATAGGTTGGTCCTACGCCTGCATAATACACTAATTAATTACACATTAATATTCATGATTTTATTGCCGAATCCTATAGCGAATATATTATATAGCGAAAATATTTGACAATCGCATTTTATAGAGAAAGAAAATCACATTTCATTAAGAAATTATTATAATCAAACTACGCGACGGAGGGGCTAAAGGCCCCGAGGGGGGGGGGCGGGCTAGTGAAGCGAATTGAGTCTCGCTTGGCTGGGGGCCGCCCAGGGCCCCCAGTGGGGGTCCAGGGGGCTTCAACCCCGGGAAGCCATGGATATTTGATGAATTAAAATTCATGAAATTTTTTATTTGTTTGTTCCCCGCCAAAATCTATCGTCTTCCCCGACGGGGAGGTTATGCTTCCCTGACGGGGAGGCTATAGCCCTATAAGAGACAGGTCACCAACAGCAAACAGGTTTATAAGAGTGTAGCCTTCCTGACAATAGCAATCATAGCCACCGTCATGATGGCTAATGCATCCCTGGCTGCACAATTTCGGACTTGTCTGTTTACAAACATCAGAATCTTAAAAAAAAAAATACAAAATTTACTTTATTTTAAAATTATTGTTAACTTTATAAAAGGCAATTTTAATTGTTGTGTTCTATTATAAGTCTCTAAGAAGTCAGCTTGGAAGGCAGTGGTGGCGCCAGAGGGGGGGTGCGGGGCCATAGCCCCCTGTCGGGGAACATAGCCCCCCCCCCCGTCGGGGAAGACGATAAATTTTGTCAAGGAACAAACAAATAAAAAAAAATATTTACATGTAATATTTAGCCACCATATTGTTTGTGTTAACTTTTCATCACAACAAAAATAACATAAAATAATAATAATAATTCAATGAGACTAATTAAAAATAATTTGCGTTCTGTTATGACAAATGCTCATTTAGATAGCCTCATGATGGTTGGAATACATCGTGATAGGTGAAGCAACCTCGACCATGACAGCGTGGTTGACAGATTGTATGCAAAATTTCCAAAATATATTTGAAAATAAATTAGATGGTTACATTGCATACCCTGTTTCAAAGCTGATTTCAACATTAGAAAGCATAGCCTACATGAAGTCATATTATAGTAACTCGATGCCTATCAAATAAGTAATAAAAATTTGCCATAATTTATCAAATATCTGTGGCTTCCAGGGGCCTTCGCCCCCTGGACCCCCACCGGGGGCCCTGGGCGGCCCCTTGGCCCCTAGCCAAGTGAGACTCGATTCGCTCCACTAGGCCCCCCCGTCGGAGCCTTTAGCCCCTCCGTCGGGTAGTTTGATTATAATAATTTTTTAATGAAATGTGATTTTCTTTTTGTATAAAATGCGATTGTCAAATATTTTTTCTAAATAGATAAAAAATGAAGGCATTCATACATACTTGGTAACAGTTAGAATTACCAGAATAAATTTCAACATTGCCCACAATACGGCTAACGTACGAATAATATCATCAACTACAAAGGAGAACACTTTGGATATTTATTTTACCAATAGTAATCTCGGTCCCCGTTTGTGTGGTCAGCCTGTCTTCTGGTGGACCAATAGTTTGAACAGAAGGTGGTGTCAGTGGATTTATTGTAGAACTGTCACATGTACGCCCATCTTGCATTAGGAAAGAGTTTGTGGGACAGAGACAGGAATATTTAGCCGAATTATCGCTCACATGAGGGGCAGCTACACACAGATCAGAGCATCCACCGTTATGACCTCCACAATAGTTAATAATTCCTAAAGTAAAAAAGAGAGGGGCACAGTGTTAACTGCATTATTAAAAAAAATCACAAAACATGAATAATTTGGAATAAAGTCTTACCGTTAATTTGTTTTTGAGGATGATATATTTGGATGCCTGTAGGTCGAGAAAGGTTATCAACTAAAATGGTATGGTTTCCATTGAATTTGTTAGCTTTAATGATACCCTTTATCTGCCAATCTGTGATGTAGACATAATCTTCGAAAACAGTGATGCCGAACGGATGAGGCAATATTGAATTTGATTGGAGGATGGTTCGTCTACCCTGGCCGTTGTAGTCGATGCTACTTAGGCTGTGTTGAGTAAGACCATCAACCCAAAAAAGGAGATCACTAATCAGATCAGTGGTCAGACCATTTGGCCAATATATATCAGTGTCCACGAGGGTCAGTCTTTGCATTCCGTTCATTCCTGCGCGTTCAATCTTGGGAGCTTGACCCCAATCAGACCAGAACATGTACCTGTAGAAAAACATAAAATAGTATTCAAGAAAAACAAGAATTCTGTTAAAAAGAACTTTGCAACGTTTTAAAACGTAATATAATAACTAGTTATTAGAAATAAAGGCATGCTAACCTACCTAGGCATATGTTGGCAGATCAGACAAACTAGGCTTAGCCCAACTAGTCTTCGCCCAATTAGTCTTCAATTAAATAAATTATACACACTATATTTGTTCGATGTCGTAGTAATTTATGTATGAAAGTGCGTTCTTCAGGCCTATCGTTTCATCGATCCATGGAAGAAAAACTATTCAATATTGTTGGAATATAATAATATAATGCCTATATCTTTGATTTTTTTTGTCTATGTATAGGCCTAAAGAATGAGATAAAAATTACCTCACCTTTTTTTGAAAGGGGAAACCTTGAATTTTGAAGAACTTAAAGGTCATTAAAAGACTCCTCAGAAGTCAGGAAAGCTCATTTCTGGCTATCTAGGAATCAAAATCTTCCCGGGGAGGACTCTGGACCCCCATTCATTTTGGGTTATTTTGGAAACATTTTGAACCCCCCTCTTTCAAATCTTGGATCTGCCCCTGACCAGATAATAGAAATAAAATCTTACCCGATTCTTGGGTCAATAGTAATAGCTCTTGGCTCATCTAAATTATCAGAAATGAGAATAGTACGTTTGCTTGGATCCTCAAGACTTGCAACTTCAATTCTGTTGGTTCCCGTATCAGTCCAGTAAATGTTGCGGTAGACCCAGTCAATGCATAGCCCATCTGGTATGTTAGCCCCAGTTATGACGACTTCTGGCGAACTAGTACCATTTATATTAGAGCGGTAGATCTCATCTAGAACAACGTCTGACCAGTAGACCTGCTTTTCCCTGAAGTCGTAGTCTACGGCTACGGCGTTTGTCTGACCGTATACGATCGTTCGATATTCATTCTTAAGTGGGTCATATCCTCGGACAGTGTAACGGTCTGCAAAAATGATTAGTGGGTCTGGTCCAATAGCTCGGCAGTATGTGTGGTTTATAAGAGTGTAGCCTTCCTGACAATAGCAATCATAACCCCCGTCATGGCTAATGCATCCCTGGCTGCACAATTTCGGACTTGTATGTTTACAAACATCAGAATCTTGAAAAAAAAAATAGCAAAATTTTCTTTATTTTAAAATTATTATTAACTTTATAAGGCAATTTTAATTGTTGTGTTCTATTATAAGTCTCTAAGAAGTCAGCTGGGAAGGCAGTGGTGGCACCAGAGGGGGCTATAGCCCCCCGTCGGGAAAGCATAGGCCCCTCCCCGTCCGGGAAGCATAGGCTCCCCCCCGTCGGGGAAGCATAGATAAATTTTGTCGAGGAACAAACAAATAAAAAAAATATTTACATGTAATATTCGTTTAGCCACCATATAGTTTGTGTTAACTTTTCATCACAACAACAATAACAATAATAATAATAATAATAATAATAATTCAATGAGACTAATTAAAAATAATTTGCGTTCTGTTATGACAAATGCTCATTTAGATAGCCTCATGATGGTTGGAATACATCGTGATAGGTGAAGCAACCTTAACCATGACAGCGTGGTTGACAGATTTCATGCAAAATTTCCAATATATATTTGAAAATAAATTAGATGGTTACATTGCATACTCTGTTTTTTGCTTTATTCAAAATGTTTTGGTTTTGGAAGCTGATTTTAACATTAGAAAGCATAGCCTACATGAAGTCATATTATAGTAACTCGATGCCTATCAAATAAGTAATAAAATTTCGCCATAAATTCATCAAATATCTGTGGCTTCCAGGGGGCTTCGCCCACTGGACCCCCACCAGGGGCCCTGGGCGGCCCTTTGGCCCTCCCCCCTGCCAAATGAGACTCAATTCGCTCCACTAGCCCCCCCCATCAGGGCCTTTAGCCCCTCCGTCGGGCAGATCCAGGCGCCACCACTGTGGGAAGGAAGAGTAAAATCCAAGTGTTAAATCGAGCGTACTTTGTTTGCTACAATTACTGTTCAATGTACAATATTTAATACCATAGGCGTAGATCCCGGGGGAATGGAGGGGATATATCCCCCCAATATTTGACAAGGGGGGATGGTCCATTGTATCATCCCCCCAATATTTTGACTATGTATGGGATAAAATGGAGCTTTACACACTTCAAAAGACTGTCACAGAAATAATTCGCACTGTCTTATACTCTTACAAAGATGAAAATTAGCATAATGTATTAGTGTTGATAACAATATTATTTTATCTGGTACCAATCTAAGCTCTTCTTTTCTTAGATGTTAGATGTGCTTGCAAAGAGAGCCGCATTTCACACTGAAGGGTGTGTACGACATCAGTAATGTTATATCAATTCCAAGAATGTTTAAGGTTATATCGGTTGATGAGGAATTTATTGATTAGGCCTATAACAGCAAATTGCATCAAGTTATTTTGCAAAAACAAGGTTTCCAGCTTCAGAGGGGGGCACATTGGCGCTAACACCAGGTGCGTAACAAGGGTCTTGGGTCAGAGTGGGTATATTTTTTTAAAATTTTTTATTTCAACCATCTTTAAAGAGGGTAACCCTTCTAGTTTAGCCCAGTAGGTTAACTGACATTCAGGGGCCCTCTTTAATAAAATTAAAGAACAATA